ATGGAACTGTTTAGACTCCAGAGGATTTACTGAACTTTGGGAATGAGTGTGCAGATTCTGACAGGGGTAATGTAAAGCGGGCTTATAAATGCCAAGGTAGAGCACCATGGGAGAAGGCATTTTGTGACGTGCTCATGTCTGTAGCTACGTTAAGCATGCAAAAGTAAGTATGAGCAATCTGAATGAGTCTGAGCACTGATGCTCTTTGAGATAGTGCATGTATTTCCCTAAGACTGCGGTGTCCAAATATACATAGATTTGGGGCAATTAAGCCTATGTGGGTCTCACACTAGACATCTGTACTGATTTTTACCATAGTTCGAAAGTGCTGATAACTTCCACTGTGATTTTGCTTTCATATGATCTGCAAGAAAAGAGAGACATCTGTTCAAAATCAAGGATTACATGATGCAGGTTCCGAAGTGAAGCAAAGAGGGTGGCAATGGAACATCACTACCATAAGTTCAACCAAATAAAGTTAGTGAATCATATTGAAACAATTCTTTTCTTGAGTCCTTTTCTATAGTAGTAAAATGTATTGATTAGGCAGATAAGCCTTTTCAGCGTTGGCCCCAAGTTTTTAGAACTCCTTTCCGATAGATCTCTGTCTAACCTCTTCTACTCTAAGATTTAGTTTTGCCATGAAGATTTTTCACTTCTAAATTGCTTCTGATAGTGTACAATACATAGGCATCCACTAATGGGTTAAAGACAAAGCAAGCATCACAACTTTGTGACATAAGCTCCACCCCTTTTGTGTAAACATCTGGAAGTTGCATACATGCATGTAAGGAGCTGAGTTTGCATTAAGACATCACAATGCTCACCACTCATTCTGATAAAACAATCATATTCCATGGATGCGTCTAATATAATAGCCTATGTTGTAGAGAGGTTTCACAGAGTAATGCTGGACATTGGTTTTGGTTTAATTACATTTAAATGGGATCTTAGCTCTCACTTTCCATGGACACAACATGGTTTGTATTAAAAGTGAACCTTGTACTACAATTGCAGCTGCAAGACATGGTCTCGTGCATATTGATTAATGCCTTTTAGACATTCTTCCTGCATGATCTATGCATTTGCAAATCTGATTCCTTTTGTCTGAATTTCCCAGGAGACATCTGAACTTAACAATAATAACAAAACTGGATAGATGCTATTCTAGTTGAATTGCACTACAACAATATGGAATTAGATACAGAGAACTCAAATAACTGGGTATATTTTACTTATTTATGCAGTAGAAATTCAGTTTTGATGGGCTGTCTAACTAGGGCAATAATCATTGTCTACAAGAAGAAGGATTGCAGAATGTTTCTGCTGCATGGTTGTTGACTCTGGTCATGCATGGAATAAAAAACCTGGAGAATAATCTAATGGAAGTTAGCCTCCCATAGTCGCTCAAAACTAATGTGATTTTAAATCATTTCAACGATCTAATGTTACAGATGTCTACTTGCAAGCATGATTCACTGAGTTCCCTGGACCTACTTTTGATGTCCATGTGATCAAACTTCCTTTGAATTTGGAAAGGGAAAAGACCATCCGTTACCAAGTTCCATTTTGTTCATTTCCAGTTGGCAGCAGTGCTTCCTTTGACCATCATTTTTATTACCTGTTACTCCTTTTGGAATGTGTTTTAACAAAGTGGGATGTACTTTTAATATGATTTTAATGGAATGATCAGGTCACATGACGTATCTATCATTTTATTTCCCAGAACCCTTCTTGCTAGCACTATGCTACAATATGCCATTACTCCGAAGGTAACCCAGCCTGGCTTTCTGCTGGTGGTTGTTAAAAGAAACGTGGCTGCTTCCACCATGAATTATAATTTTAACAGTGATCCCTCCTTTTGCCCTAGCAACTAGGAAAGTATTACCACAGCTTCTGAATATTATAGCCTGTGAAAATTTGGAGAACATTGAAATCAGTGGCTGTGTTTATCAAATCCACTAACTCGTAGTTACCTGAACCATGATTTACTATACAAAAATTGCCTTCAGGTTGAGCCTTTCTGACTCTCAAGCCATTTGTCTTCTGATTCATGCCTTGAACTGATAGTGCAGCCATGAGAAATGTAAGACACAGCAGGTTGTAGAACAGTGCCAAGGGACAGTGGAACTATAGCTACTCTGTGCTCTCAAAAGAGAGAGCAAGAGAGAGAGATTCAAGGCTGAAACATCATTACAAGTGGCTGTTATTTAAAAGGTAAAGCATTTACCTGCACTGCGGCTTTGAGTTTCCTCAACAGTATAGGTTTCCTTCCCAATGGCAGAGTCTTGATATTCCTGTGTGGACTGTAGGCATGTGTTGTTAAATATATTTTTCCATATTTTAAAGCATCTTTTATGCACTGGCTCTGGACATGTGCAGTTGCCCATCACTGTTTTCTTGAGCAACTTCCATGCGGCAAAGCATTGCTCTACCACCATTTGTAGGCTGCATTTTGCTACCTCTGCTCTGCACACTCTCTGGAATATCTTGTACTTTGTAAAGCAGGTGTTGTCTCTTTGACAGAGGTCCTTTGCAACAGAGCAATCGTTTCCAAGTTGGCCTGAGAGGACCATCCTTGGAGTTTTTATCTGACGCGGGGGTGTGAATTGAGTATCTATGCTGGGTGAAGGCTCTAAGTTCCCTGTGAAGAGAGAGAGTTTATTTCAGGTTCCTTTCATTTTCATTTAATTAAATCTCAGTACACTTTATATGATTACTCATCCTTGATGCAACAGTTAACAATTTCCTCTTCCAGCTGGCTTAACTGTAATGTGTGTATTCCTTAAAATGGTGACTTTTTTTTCAGGCTCACACAGAACCAAAAAAAAAAAAAAAAGATTTATATCCTTTAATGAATGGTAAAGAGGTGATGTGCTCTTAGAAAGCACCAAGCTCTTCTTCTGAATCATTTATGAAGGATGCCCAACCCTACAGTTTAGGAACAGTTTTGAAAGTCTCTGGAGTAGGTTCCACCCAAGAGCTATCATGGCCACAGGCAGCCCTTGGATTCTCAGGATGAGCATATCTCAGCCTTAATTGATTTCTTCCCTCTGTTATCTGTGCCTATAAGAAATATGCCCCTGATGGTCAGAGCACCTCCTGGGATGCTGCGCAGGGGACCGCCGAGAGAGGAGGAGGAGGATGTTTCCTCGGTGAACATTCTTAAGTTAATTATCTTAGGACAGGAGGAGGCAATCTTTCAATAATGGGCGTTGAATTTGTTTGGGTGACAGGAGATTGCAGCAGGTGGCACAATGACGCAAAGAAGGTGAGAGTGTGTCATGTAGGTAGGCTGGGCCAGAAGACGTTTGAACATTTCCTCTGAACTTAGGAGGGCATCGTGAGAGTGCCATATGCCACAATTTGGAGTGTTTCCTGCTTTAAAATGTAAAAAATGGTGCTGCCAATCTTTAGTAACAGCAGCTAGATATGGGTTCAGGAGATTGCAAAAATGGGGCTTTCATTATGTGGCACTCTGGAGCCAAAAGTTGTCTGCCCACTACTGTTCGTTTATTTATTTATTTATGCAATTTATTTGATCATTCAACTTGCAAAGTGGGAGTCTGGTCAGCTAACATAGGATTCAAACATAAAACAAAAGAAGCAATGAACATAAAGACAGAGAAAGACAGTATATAACATAATCAAGGCCAAATCACAGTGTGTTCCCATTCCAAAACCATTTACCAAATGGGGGTCATCTAATCATCCAATATCCTAGCTCAATACCGGGGGAATAACCAGTTTTTATGGCCTTCTGGAAGGCCAACAGGGTGGGGGCCATCTGAATTTCAGGGGAAATGATGTTCTTTTTTTTTAATATAATTTTTATTGAAGAAAATTTTAACAAGATAAAAACAATACAAATATTAGAAAAGAAACAAAATAAGGAAGAATAGTGAATAAGTAAGAAAGAAAATAGAAAAAGAAAAGAGTATAAAGAAGATTATAAATCTCCTTCTTTATCATCTTTATAGGGAAATGCTGTCCTAAAGAACAGGCACCAGGACAGAGAAGGTGCTTTCACAGATACAGCAGCTGTCTATGGCCTGTTCATTCCTCACAAGGGCCCTCACACATTCTGAAAGGCTTCTTGTTGTCATACTAAAGTTGCAAGGGACAAGTGAGGATAGGAAACTTTCTATGGATTTTCTTCCATTAAATTAGTATCCAAGTAGCTGTTTTTTTCAGGTAGTCGTTTAATTATAACTTGGTCTGTATTACTGCCTCTCTATAACATTTCTCCTCCACTTCTGTTGAGCAATTTCTAGAGATTCAAGCATTTTCTCATTCTTCTGCTGTACCCTTTATGAAAATGACTGATTTGGAAGCTATTGCCAGAGTTAATGGGCTACTGCTCTGCATGATTTGCAATTCCAGAATTTAGAACATGAAACTGACAGGCTTTAATTTGTGTACAATTCTAGATACTAACTTAGAAATGATTTGACTCTGTTCAAGATATCCATTTTTATGTATGATGAATGTGGCCACTTCTTGGATCTGAAGTCCAGTACAATTGCTTACAAGAGCCATGGAGTTTCTAATTAGAAGTTGGTTGATATAATCATGTGATTACTTGAATTCATGAGCTTCTTAAAGTGAGAAGTGCTTTTTCTTAGCACAATGCCATTATAAAATGCTATTGTTTTATTTGATAACAACAAGCCGATGGTTACCTTTATCAGTGGAACATTTTTTCCCCAACAACATTCTGATGCTGCAGTTATCTTTTACGCAGATGCAGTCTTTAAATTCTGGGAACTGGTCAACTAAAAACTGAATTATTTTATTACAGTTGGATGAATCTTTTACTGCACAGCTGTTACCTAGATTTCCAAAACACAATACTGTTAATATCTTCTTATGAAAAAACAGCAGCAACGTAATCACTTCATTTTTCTAAGAAGAATCCTGTGACGCCATCAAGACTCAGCAGTTTACTTTTATGATTTTCAAGATTCTTTCACTATCTAAAATTTTGGATGAAACTCAAAAGAAGGTTCCCAGCCATTAAAAATCTTCTCATGACATGAACTAGCCACTGAAAGATGTAAAGGATTACCTCCAAGTTTTACTAACTAGGGCAAAAGTTCTTAACCTGTGGTCCTGACCCTTCATGAGGTTGTGATCAAGGACACGTATTAGTTCAGGTGTGCACATGCACGGCAGGATCACTGACAGAACTTGTGCCGACTCTCCTTGGACAAGCATTTATCCCAGCAAAATGGAACATGGTTTGCTAGGGCTACAACTACACTTAATCTACTGCTATGCTTGATCTGTTCACACCACCCTGCCTCCAACACCCAGCATGCCTGCATTTGCCTGCAGTGCCTCATTCATAACTACTCCTTTCAAGAAAGTTTGGAGGCTTGGTGTAGGAGGGAGGGGGTGGGTAGTAGGAGTTGACAAGCATGTGTGCAGTCAGGAACTGGTTCCCCTTCTTCTCTCCCAGGACATTTTCCCCAAGCCTAGTTGTAAGTCATAAGAGAAGAGCAGATGGGTAAGACACTTGGAGGATGGGCTGTCTGGCACTGTGGCTGGGTCTGCCTATGAAGGCAGAAGAGAAAGTGGTTGCCACCATCACCACCCCTGACACCATTCTCTGCTCTTTCTGTTTGCAGGAACTGCAGCTGTTGTCTGCAGTCTGGCTGGTTGGGAGTAGCAGAGGAAACAGTGGCAGGCTCCACACTCACCACAAGAAGAGCTATGGGGCCAAGCCACAGTGAGGAACCCAAGCTGGAAGATCTCCCAGCGCTAAGTTGGTGAAGGAGATCTGGAAGAAGGAGCAAAGAGTGTTCTCTCTGGTTTTCCTCATTCATATATTCAGACTTTGGTTGCAGGAGAACAAAGCCAGCATATAAAAGATTCCCCTTCTCCCCCAAAACAAAGGGGGGGGGGAGAATGAACAGAGGAGGAAACTCATGGCAACATCCCAAGCGGTTTTCCTCCTGCTTGGTCACAGGCCAGGGATAAACAGGAACCTGTCTTGGAGAAAGGGGGTCACATCACCGCAAAGTTTGAAAACAAGGCATAAGGGCTTGGCTCACAGATCATATTCAACTATAAAACATGGTTTAAAATCCACCATGGCAGGGCTCATGCAACCCAATAATTAAAAATCCAACAAGTACAGTGGTACCTCGGTTCACAAATGCTTCTGTTCACGAACAATTCGGTTCACGAACAGCTCTGTTCACAAAATTTTGCCTCCGTTCGCGAACGCCGGTTACGAACAGAATCCGCGGCCATTTTCCCTCCCGTGACACGGGGTCACAGCTTCCTGTAGGGAGGGGGACTCTCCCTCTCCGCCCACCTTCCTGTCCTCCACGCCAGAAGTCGCGTCGAGCAAGTTTAGCTTTCTCTCTCTTCGTGCTGTACTTTGTGTCATATTTTTGCGGTTTAAAA